TTTGGTGTTGGACAAAGTTACCTCTAGCGCAAATTATTCTACGGTTAATTTCCTTTTCCCCTGTCCTAAATTTGTTAAAACGGATCTATACACCTAGATAATTGAAGCATTTAGAATTCATTAAACCCACATTCCGGAATTTTATTAGAAATTCAGGTTATGTGACAAAACTGTTTTCATTCTAATTCCAGATCATAGTTTCTGTTTTGGTATCTCTTACTACTTTGAAAACTTTGAACGTTATTTTTTGTTCGCAATCATTCTATAAACAAATAGGCTACATCTTTAATTAAATACTCCGTATCCTTCTTAAACTGGACAAAGGAGGAAATCAAATATGTTAATTGAAGGATAACACTAATGATCACATTGCAGAGATGCTGCTGAGAGTGTTTATAAAAAGATTAATGAAGAAATAAAGCTTATCTGAATTGAAGTCATTTTTATAAAATTGATAAAAAACACAAGCACCAAATAAAATGAAATAATTATAAAATGGCTTCCAAAAAAAATAGCAAAAAATAATACCAAGGAACATCAAATTAAAAGACAAAAATAACTCTACGGAGAGTTCAGAAGACAAATACAAAGGTGGGATAAAGAGTTCACAGTCTGAATACGAAGGTGTAATACTAGAGCTATGAAATCTTGCAGTCATTAATTTCAACCTTTCTTATAAATAACTGCAAGTAAACTGATTTCCGACTCTTCAAAGACGATTTCAAACGTAACTAGCAGTGACTTCTCTTGAAAATGGACAAAATTTGGTATGATGGAGCTATAAAGTGCCAACGCAAAAAAGCGTCTATCCCACAAGGATATTTATGCAGACATGGTTGGTACATTAAGGGAAGACGCTCTTGATTTGCCAACAGTGCAAAAGTGGACTGCTGAATTTAGGAGATGAAAGGAATGTGTTGAAAATTAGTTAAGGTCTGTTGAAGGTGACCCAAGATCTGGATGTCCTGCAACTGCCTCCCCCGAGGAAAACATTGATCGTGTTCACTCAGTGGTGATGGATGACAGGTGACTGATTATAAATCAAATAACCAATGCTATTAACATATTCCGTGAGTTGAGAATATTCTGCGCAATGAACTTGGCATGAAGAAGATTTCTGCTCGATAGACTACACGTCTTCGGATACGTGGTCAAAAGCTCAACAGTCTGAAGGCATCACAGGAAAATCTGAGGTAGATCCAGATGATTTTCTTGAAGGTGTCATAAATCCTGATGAGTGTTGTGTTCATCACTTTAAGACAGAAACAAACAGACAATAAATACAATGGAAACAGCCCTCCTACAATGAAGGGAAATGACCTTTCATTTGCAGGGATGGGGATTTCCTCAATTTCTTGACATGCCAAAGGCATTGTATTTATTGAATATATTCAAATGGGCTACACCATCAATGGAGTTTACTATGCCGAATTGCTGAGGCAGTTACAAAAGATTATTAATAGCAAATACGCAGAAAAACTTCACCAGCGCAAAAATCTTGTGGTTTTGAACTGATTGATCACCCACTTTATTTTCGTGATTTCACTATCATCTGTTCTCCAATATTAATAAACTCTTGACTGGCAAATATTATAGCAATGATGATGACTTCATATTTGCTGCTGATGACTTTTTTGATCAACAGGATGAAAAGTCTTCTTTGAACAGTCAGATGTGAAATAATGCAGTAATTAATAAGATAATAATAAGATAATAATGTGCATCAGCTACCAGGAATTGAAAACCGGACATTTACGATATGAGGCAAGCGTCATACCAATTGAACCAATGGGCCTCGGTGACAACGAGGTAACGAATTAGGCTCGATGTAGCGCCGCTCTTCACAAATTCCGTGGTGTATCTCATCCGAGTTTCCTTTAACCACAAACCCCACCTCCACGAGCCACGACTTCTATCCCCAAGCTGCTCCATCCAGATCATTAGAAGCCAGTTCAAGCAAGGATATACAGGTTAGGCGCTATCTCGAGCATAATTCGTTACCTCGACGTCGCGTGGCCCGTTGGGACAGTTGATATGACGCTTGCCTCATATCGTAACTGTCCGGTTTTCAATACCCGGAAGTGGATGTACACTGCTGATGAGTCCCAAATCTAGAACGAAACGGCCGTCCAGTGCTTTCTGGACTCTGCTGAGGTTTCTTATAGACTCGATGAATTACTTAATTATGATTATCTCAAATCCTCCTAAAAATTTCTATCTTTTATATAACTATATATGTGTGTATAAATATATATATATATAAATATATATATATATATATATATATATATATATATATATATATATATATATATATATATATATATAAACATAAATGTATAATATGTCACCGGAAAATAATCGCATTAGAACCAATTACTTCAAGGCGAAATCAATAAAACCCCACAAATGATCCGCTTGCTTTTACCAGAAGTCGATATTCGAGCACCTAAACCTAAAAGGATAATTTTCAAAGCTAATCAATCACGTCTCAGTTTTTTTCTCTTCTCGTTTGTCTCATTTGGTCTTGTACTGCACAATGCTAAGATTACTAAATAGCCAAAAGCCTACAAAAAACATCAACTGTCCCTCGCGGCAAAGAATAGAATACAATGAACCGTACAGGAAATGTGCAATTAATTCAATCTTAAGGAATATAAAAACTGGTGTGATAAGATACAATCGGAATCGTGCGAAGAGTTAGGTTCGATCCTAGAAGCAAAATATGAGGAGCCCAAGCTGTTTGTAAGACGTCAAAGGATCCAATACTGAGTTTCAATTAACAAAGCACACCACCCGAAAATAGTCATAACGTTTCAACAATTGTAATCTAAGGCTTTCGTCAACTTTCTTTTATAAGAGGGGGAAGAAGAGGAAAAGGGGAAGGAGGGGAAAGAAGAAGGATGAGGAAGAAAAAGACGAAGAAGAATGTCCTAATGCTATACCAAGAATGGATTTCATGGCTTCTGATCCTAACTGATTGGGTTGTTAATATATACAATTTTGCCGTGTTGTATTAACACATTCTGTAGTAAGATTAAATATTACGTAGCAGTAATCTAAAACTACCAAAAATTTGTTTGCCAGCTACTTGTCTTTAACCAGTTGGACATGTCCGGTTCTGCATCGCTATTCATGAGCGGGAGATCATAGACAGGTATCAAGTGCGGTGTTTTTAAACTTAGGCAGAAAAGGCAACTTGGAAGATACATGGGAACACACCCAATCAGAGACCGTATGGACTGTTTTACCCGACTCGAAGGTATTTCTAACCGGCCCTCATCTGTAAGGTTGTGTGCTGCTTTTATCCTCACATCGCCCATAATTTCATGTGATACATGTGCCTGATATACTCTTATCAGCATAGGTGACATGCTGACTATATTGGATTCCCTGTATTTGTAACTCAGCGTCCCGTTCATGGCGTGCGTGCGTCTCTCTCTCTCTCTCTCTCTCTCTCTCTCTCTCTCTCTCATATTAATAATAATAATACCACAAATTGATTACGTACGGCGCCATGATAAAAGTAATACGTTGGGAAGAATGCATGAAATGTCACCTCGAGTGCGGAGTGAAGTAGTATGAGAATTCGCCACCGTATGTGCTAGTTCTTTTAGGACGTTGACGATTATGGCTCTCCACAATCTCCTACCCTTTGTAGCTTTTAGTAAAACTTTCTGTTTATGTCATCTCTCTCAAGCCCTGTTCTGCCCTATATTTACATAGGCAATCTAGGTAGACTGGCTTTCACTGTCCTACTTGCCTTCAATGTGTCCTGTGTGTTTTTGGAGTGCCAAAATGAGCAATTGAAACTCATGTGGAATATGACCATCTTGAGTGGGAAGCAATAGACCTGCTCCACTTGTGAACAAGAGCAGTCATGCATGGATCCTAATGGTCGTCGCCATACCATGCGAGTAGGAGGTGAGATATGATCATCACTCGACATCTGAGAGGATACCAAATAATAATAATAATAGTAATCATCCAGAGAAAGTAGCTTGTAACGCATCTATTTATCATCTCTCAGTTGCGTCTCTGTCTTTGGACAGAGTGCACTCAAGAGCGACTCCGTCAAATGACAGAGTCGCAAATGAGGGAAATTATACTGAGATCTGCCGCGTCCTCTCATTGCACTATAGAAAGGGATCGTGCACGCACCGAGGCCAGCGCAACCACCGGGGGCTCGGTTATTTTTGTTCCTAGTCCGGGTGTACGCGCTCGGGCTACCCACATTAAACCGACATTTTGTCACAACCTGACCTCGTAGGTGGGGAGGGGGAGGTTGAGTAAATACAAATAGTAATCATCCAGAAAAACCTTGAATATTTGGGAGCTTCCTGAATAACGAAAAATAGAATTTAAAAAAAATAGGGTAGAATACTAAAAACATTACTGAAGTAGTGAAAAGATTTATTGACAATTGAAGTCTAGCTCTTTACAAGAGCCAGATCAGACCAAAAAATGAAGTGTAACCATCATATATAATCTAGAGCTTCACAGTCCTCACTTGCCCTTCATGACAGAGTTCAAATGTCTCTGCGCGGCCTTGTGGGTGATTAATTATTATTCATCGCAAGTCTCTCGCTACTTTTCTCATGATAATTGTTCTGAGGTACATTCTTCATTTCCACCTGTCTTGACCGTTGCAGCTGTGATCCACCATGTCATGTCCTCGAGTATGAATCATCCTCATTTCCTTCATATTAGTAAGAAGTATATACAAGTCGGACAGATCATTCCCAAGAACTACTGTTTTGTGGAACAGACTCCCAGTAGGATGTTTTTTTCCGATCACTACAATCTTAACCTCTACAAATCTTGGATTAACCGTTATCATTCATGCATCACCCCGATCTGATCTTCTTGCTTTTTTTATGCCCATACAACGCATTACAATAACCTTCCACCTTGATTGACTTTTGGGCTTTGTATTTGTGAATATTATTATAAAAAGGTTTTAATATACTGTCAGTGTGAATAGTAAACTTTTACAGGATTACGGCCATATCACATTGAAACAACGGTTCCCGTATGATCACCAAAGTTAAGAAACGTCGAGCTTGGTCAATACCTAAATGAGTGACCTCTTGGAAATACCAGGTGCTGTAAGCTTGGATGTGCGGTTGGTGTAATGGATAATGGCTCGGATTTGTTAATTGAGGATCCGAGATCCAATTCCCGTTGTGTTCGTTATATTGACTTACGCGCAAATACCCTTGGGAAAAGTATAAATCTACGTACTCTCCTCCCTCTCTATGGATTAAGTAGTAAGACTTGTCTCACTAAAACGAACCCAAAGGGAATTGGAACATACACACCGATTAACAATTCCGTATCATCATACATTGTACCATCCAGATATCCAAGCTTACAACAGCTGGTATTCCCGACCGGTCACCTATGTATGTACTGTCCAGGTTCGACGTTGCTTAACTTCAGTGATCGTACGAGAATCGGTGTTTCAATGTGATGTGATCGTAAGCTGCTCCATTGAGATTCCTGCCGTTCGACATCACTGGAGGTAATGCAGGAAAAGACAGGAAGCTGAGAAGAGTCATTATTGCCTACGTCATGAAGGAAGGTACGTTGTCAACGCTACCATTTTTATTACTTACTAGCAGTAGAACCCGGCGTTGCCCGGAGATGTAACAGTAAGAGATAGATCAAGTATCGACCATCATAAAGACTGAAAAATAAAATTGACAAAGATGATTGTTTAAGGTTGACGGACACGCATGTCTTAATTAGTTTTTTTTTTTTTTAACTAATTGGTCAAACCCAAACTCAAACAAAAACATTGTTTTCAATCGTTATGAGTCTACCGATTAAATAGAATTTTATTATAAACAATTGTCTTGTAAATGGAATTTTTAAAGCATTCTGCATGTAAAAATAAAGAAAAAAGTGTGCAAGACAATAAGAAACACTACCTTTTTACCTTTTTTAGAAAAAAAAGTGAAGTTTTGTTGAAATCGGTTGAAAAATGTAGGAAATCCGATCCCATATATAAACGAACACACACACACACACACAAACAACCTGGGTTTTATAATAAGTATAACTCGATATGTGTTGTCCCCCTTTCATTCTCGCGACAGCGATGCCTCTTAATCGTGTTTTCAAATTGATTTCGTACAAAAACAATTGTGTTTTTCTATTTTTGGCGCTGTCAGAACCACCGCAAGGTAATTTTACGTAGTCCTGAGAAGTTTTGTTGAAATCGGTTGAAAAATGTACGAAATCTGATCCAATATATAAACGAACAGACACACACACACACAACCTGGGTTTTATAATAAGTATGATGTCGGACTTCAAATGCAACTCTACTACTTTCACTATTTACCTATAATGAGTTTCTGTCCTAACAATTTACTTCTGCCAGTAAATACAAACGGTTTCATGAATCAGCAAACAATTTCTCTAAACTTGGAAAAAGGTTTTTGCATTCGATTAGTATTTTGTATAGAAATCAGGAAAAAAGATTATCAGGAATAACTGCAAGTTTCAACAGAAAGGCGCTCGTATATGCATAATTTCCATGCAAATTATGTGCTAGCAAATACGTCCATCATCGTTTATATGACTTGAATCTTCGGGACGATGACAATCATTGCACTCTACAGCTTCTTCTGTATATCTCTAAGCAAAGTGTATCACCCTCACAATATGTCCCAGTCCTTACTCTTTCGTTGATTTACATAGACCTGTAGGTAGTTTATTTGCGGTTTGTCTCTTTTGTTCTTGTTTTTGTATCAGCACTGGAAGAGTTACATTCTCAAGGCATCTTTCCACGTGATATGTCTGAGAAATTTCAACTGTCACTTTCTAATTTTAAGAAAAATTGTCCTTTTCATTTCTCGTTTCCGAGCACATCCGTTCCACAGGGCGTCTAACTAAACCCTTTCCCAGACGCTGGCTCAAACCACAGAGAATATTTGTGGATTTTACTGTAACTACGCTGAGTGGATCTTAATTACAGTTTTCTGGAAAAGAGCCCATAATCTGCAAATCAATTTCGTGAACAATGCGAGTAGGCTCAATCTCTCAGTCAGAATGACTTGCTTTGAGTGTTTGCAGGAGATTGGTTATTGGATTTTGCTTAGCGGCATATCAACACCTCTATGGATTATTTAATGCCGAAATCTTAATATTTCGGTACAATTTATGGCTTCAACTAAATATATTTTGAACGCAGTTGTATTACTTCAAATTGATAGTAATTTGTACACACACACATATATATATATTTATATAATAAAGACATTTTTATGTTTAACATTCTTTTTATAGATACAAGTATTTAAGTAAATGCTCTGTTTATAATAAACAGTATTAAATAACATTTACCGGATGTCCGAGAAATTTTCATAGAAAATATTCGTCCTTTGACAGGATTCGAACCTGCATCCTATACGGAACTGTCATTTACGCTGACGTGCCTTAACTGACATGCCCACAGAGGAGCGTTCGGTAGGCAAGGTCGAATTTACTGCTTATAAACTTCAATCTTCCATGAATCTCGTACATTCATAACTGCTCATGGCGTATCAAATGTAAACAAATGACGTCATACATTAAGAATTGTCTTTAATAAATTGTCGGACTTTGTCCAATTCTGGAATACATAATCGATAATAACGTATAAAAAAAATTACAAATTAATTTTCTTTTGCATTTATATATCAGGTATTATGGGTATTTTGCGGGGGTGGTTCCGATGTAGTAAGGGGGAGGCATTAAGATTAATAGGCTTTGTTTCCCCTTACTTCATTGTCTCAGAAAAAATCTCTCAAAATTATTCTTTTAAAAATTTTGAAACTACGTGCATCTCTCCTTTCATGCGCATGTGTAGACGTGGCAACATCAACAAAGCCCAGTCCTATGAAATCTTAATGGATGAAACACGTCACAAAAACCTTTCCAGTTTGCCATATTTTTCTAAATACTGTTTGGTGATATATAAAATTATACAACATTATATATTGTTATATAATTACTACATTGTATAAAGGTTAATAATTTTTTTTTTAAATATATATTCGTGAGCTGGAGTACTTAATCTAGAGTAATATGAAAAAAGAAATTTTAAAAGAAAATTATTGTTGCTGATCTCAGTGCCTATTGATCCCAGTTCTTATTAATCCAGTGCCTACTGATCACAGTGCCATTTGATCTCAGTGCCTATTGATCTCAATGCGTATTAACCCAGTGCCTACTGATCCTAGTGCCTATGAATCACAGTGCTAATTTATCTCAGTGCCTATTGATCACAGTGCCCATTGATCTTAAGGCCTATTTATCACAGTACCTCTTGATCTCAGTGCCCAATAACCCAGTGCCTATTGATCCCAGTGCCAATTGATCCCAGTGCCAATTGATCTGTACCTATTGATCTCGGTGCCTACTAACCAAGTCCCTACTGATCCTAGTGCCAATTGATCTCAGTGTTTATTGACTACAGTACCTATTGATCCTAATGCCTATTGATGTCAGTGCCTATTAACCCAGTGCCTAGTGATCCAAGTGTCTATTAATCCAGTTTCTACGGACCCCACTGTTTATTAATCCCAGTGCCAATTGACCTCAGTGCCTATTGACCACAGTGACTCTTGATCTTAATGCCTTTTGATCTCAGTGCCTATTAACCTATTGATCCCAGTGCTTATCGATCCCAGTGCCTATTAATCTCAGTGCCTATTAATCTAGTCCCTACTGATCCCAGTGCCTATTGATCTCAGTGCCTATTAACCCAGTGCCTACCGACCCCAGTGCCTGTTGACCTCAACGTCCATTGAACAATTTTATCAAGTCCATCAATGTAATCTAAGAAGATCCTACACAGAACGATGAATACAATATTTCAAATATTGATTTTCCAAAGTAGAAAATAATTTTTAATCAGAAAATGTCGTTTCTATCTAAAACTCTATTTAGCAAGTATTGATGGTCACTTTTTAAAATATATATGCAACGTGATAATCTGTGTTTAGAAATTAAGGTAAGGGTTATTAAAAGTATTATACTTTTCATTACAAAATACGTTGAATTTATTTCTTTTTAAATATCTTCTTTTTCTTCTTCAATTAATATAATTAAATAATTCGTGCCTTTCCAGGGGCATTTAACTTTCATACTAATGACCTTGGAAAAATAATGAATCTGTCTCTTCTCTACCTCCACCGCCCATCAGGATTAAATAGGAAGGTATGCTAGGTTCTATAACCTTGAATAGTGAATAGTATAAGAGAAGAAAGAATATGAATTCAAAACATTGGAACAGGTTACGGAAAACCACTCCACAATCATCCCCGAGTATTAATGGCAAATTACAAATAATAAATAAAGAAAACCTGTGATGAGTTATGAATTTATTCGTCCTAAAGAACCATGTCATTTAAAAAGAAAAGTAATTGTAAAATAGAACTCGAAAACGAAGGTCTTCTACACAAAAATCTATTGCTATTTCATTTTCACCCCACTTATTGTTTTTTTTTTTGTCTTTATTGACGTGTTTTTTTGTAAAACGTTATAAAGACTGCGTTTTCCAAAACCATATACCATTAAAGTATTTGTTTTTATCAAGGAGTTGATGCATAACGAGTTATGAAAATGCAGTTGGACTTGAACATATAGTTTGGCTGTGGAAGCTTCGATTGCAAGCAATGAGGTCTCCTGTTTTAAATTAAATGCTGATTTGAAGGAAGATATTCACCCGGAGAAACAGGGGATACCTCTCTTTGACAGAATGACATTTCAGTGCTCAAGACACAAAACTTCGTGACTTCAATTCTATCGAGTGAAAATGACAAAGTGTATCTCCGCAGGTCACCGGAAATCCGTTCCTTGGACAAAACTTCTTCCTTGCACTTAAGGGAGAGGGTCATGACATTCCACGATATTTTCTGTTAACACTGCAATGCTGCACGCACCTTTCTGCGCTTGATGTTTGAAAAACAACTTTAAAAAAAGAAAGAAGAAGCGACCCGTCATCGGGTTTTGTACCACGAAGGAATGCAGATAAGCCGTCACATTAAATGATTTAGCAGATATCGATTTTTGCATCGAAGAGAACGTAAGTAATTAATTCTTGATTACCTTATCTCAACGCAGAGGCAAATGACATGTATAGAATTGTGCAGAATAAGTGCAGTCGGTCTGCTTAGAAAATATTTTCAGTGGTTCGTGTTCCAGCATAGGATATGCTCAAACACCAACCGCTGGAAATATTCAACTACTTCAACTACAAAGCAAGACCTACCTTTGTTATGTAGGACAACTAGTGATGAATCTTATTTCCCACATTAGTAATGGTCGACGGGACAAGTTCAGTATTCCAGAGAGAGACGCCCACAAGATATACTTTTACCTACTTCCTCCTCCTCTTCTCCTTCCTCCTCCTCCTTCCTCCTCCTCCTCCTCTTCCTCCTCCTCCTCTTCTTCTTCCTCCCCCTCCTTCTTCCTCCTCCTCCTTCCTCTTG